AAATTTTGCAAGTATTTTTTTGTTAGAATCCCAAAAGTTGGTTTATAATCAGGATATCAACATATCCGTGTACGTACATATAGCGATTATATAGCGATAGTGTACAAATAGAAATATCTTTTTTTTAGGTTTTCCGAATACGAGTCGTGTAACCACGTGATTAAAATCGATAAAACCTGTCATATTACAGAATTCAGATAAATAACGAACTTCTGTCGAACAATATATAGTTATTTTGACTTTAATATTACTTTTTATTAGAGCTAATTAACCTTATTTTGTATATAAAAGATTTAATATTCAAATAATTTTATCCGATTAACAAAAAATATAAAAAAATTTTTTCCTATTTAAAAAATTTTTTCTCTTTTTTACGTATTGATTTTATCCACTTTTGTTAACATAACATTAAAACCTTTTATCCGTTTTTTCAAATATAATATTTGATAAACAAAGTAATCTTTAACCAAAATTTCAATATAATCTCTATATATATATATTATTTGGGGTCTTATCATATGATAGCTCCGGAAAAACAATACTCCAATATCTATCGCGCTGTTAACGCGTTCTTGTAACTATATTGATTATGCAGCAATATTCTTCTATAAACTTTAATCAGCCTTCACTATCTCCCAACTCAGTTGAAAAGACAATAACTGAAAATTTTTGTGCAAAACATGAAATAATACAAAGGAGTAAAAGCCCTACTCCTTTACGTAAATATTTATATCTAAAACATATATATATCTTGTTTTTTTTTGAACTTAAAAGATTCATACTTTTGAAATCAATATTTTTAGGTAGCTTAAATCGAATTCCACAAAAACTCGAAACTCAGCATACAAAACCAAGCCATACAATAACTCTTGGAGACAATTCTGTACTTTCTTTAGTATGCAATTATAAATATCTATTTAGTGGCTCTCAGGATCCTTATATTCGAGTATGTATTACTATTTTGTACAAATATTTAAGGATTCATCAGATGAATTAATGTAATTGGATAATATCTGTCTTATTAATCACATTTATTTTATATTTGATTTTTTATCTTTAATTTTTGGGTTTCTTTTTTTGAGGTATGGGATCTACTTACTTTCCAGCAGATAAAGACATTGAGCGGACACACGGGTGGCATATTATGCTTGAGTCTATCGGAAGATTATACTATGTTATTTAGTTCTTCCGGTAAGCTAAAGCTATCT